TTTTGGTAGTGCTTAAGCCAACTACAAGTTATTGAGTATTCTATAGTTGTTGTTATTGACATTTATGTCTTCTTGCTTTTTAAGGAACTTCTCGCCAAGTTTACCGTCTGGAGTTTTTTGTCTGCCAGGATTTATCACTACAGGAACCAAGGAAGATTTTTATGCTTTGCCACTCTGCCTGAAGAAACCACTTACCTGATTAAAGGAAACCTCACCCCAAAGCCACGTCCTTCTCCAGAAACCCGTAAGAAAGACTTTTCATTATTTCTATGAAAATATTTAATATTTTCATTCCGATTCATGTTGGAAAAAGACTCACCTGGATTCTTCCCCTTTTTTCCAGATTTGGACTTGTATTTATTCCCCAGCACCTGTAAATAAAATCACTTACCTTTTTCATTCGTGTTCCAAGTTTGATTACTCAGTTCCACTCAATCACCTGACTATTCTGAGTCCATGTCAGTATGCATCAGCCAACAACCCAGTCAGTGAGTGGAGCTGAGGCTAATCAAACCTCAGCCATGTTACGGGCACAAAGTAAAAAGATTGAAAATCACGAAATTTATTTGCAACAATTACTGCAACAACAACAGGTCTTTGGTAATGTTCTGGACAAATTAAACGGAAAAATTGCTTCAATGGATGACAAACTTGAACTTGTTTTACCCTCACCACCCCCCATTCAGACTCCAGTTACTGCTCCTGCTGGACCTGTAGCTCGTGAACCAGATTTTCGTCCAGCAGAACTTTTTGATGGAGATGTGGAAAAATGTGGTGGATTTCTGCTCCAGTGTCGTCTCGCTTTCATCAGGTCACCTTTTTTATTTCCTGATCAATTCTCTAAAATAATGTATGTAATCAGCTCATTGAAAGGAAGAGCATTAAGGTGGGCTAACGCCTTTTTGAGTTCACATAACGCTAATTCCATAACTTATCAGACTTTTCTCCAGGAGTTCTGTCGAGTTTTTGATCACCCCCTCCAGCAGGAGGCAGCAGCGAAGCGCCTTCTTTCCCTCCGCCAGGGAAGAAGATCAGTCGCTGATTTTTCAATAGACTTCCGGATTACAGCGGAGGAGTCCGGTTGGGGAGACACGGCTCTGAAAAGTATTTTTGCTAACGCACTTTCTGACTCATTAAAGGATCAACTAGCGACGCGGGATGAATCGGATTCATTGGATGGACTAATCAGTTTGGCGATCCGAATCGACAACAGACTACGTGAAAGAAAACGAGAAAAGGACTTCAACTCCCAACAGCCACCGCGGTCCAACACTTCCTTTTTTCCTCCCGCTCTGACTCCGCAATCTTCGAAATCAGATACAGCTGATATTGAGGGGGAACCTACGCAGCTGGGATGCTCGCAGCTTTCTGCTGAAGAACGACAGAGACGGTATGAATCTAAGTCCTGTTTTTACTGTGGTAAAAAGGATCACTTAGTTGCTAAGTGTTCGGCTCTGTTAAAAAACCGGACCCACCATTAAGTATGGGGATTATGCTTGGTCAATCTAAGTCTTCCCCTAGCACCCGTTTCACTATTCATGCGACTATTTTTGCCGATCTCAAGAAGTTATCCACTCATGCATTAGTAGACTCGGGAGCAGAGCAAAACTTAATATCAATGGACATCGTAGAGGAACTGGGACTCGTTACTGAGAAGCTGGATCCACCATTACCGGTTTTGGGTATCACCGGCCAACGAATCACTGCCATCACTCATCGGGTCAACAAAGTACCACTACTTCTTTCCGGAAATCACCATGAATTGGGTGAGTTATTTGTTATCAATGCTAATACTCCACAATTAGTGCTTGGATATTCTTGGCTTAAAAAACTCAATCCACAGTTAAACTGGGTTGAGGAGAGAGTCGAGCGCTGGAGTAATTTTTGTTTAAACCATTGTTTGAAAGCTGCTGTACCCAAACTAGAGATTAAGAAGGACTCTTTTGAAGAGATTGATTTAGCTAAAGTACCCAGTGAGTATCATGATCTAGCACCTGTGTTCAGCAAAGCCAAGGCTCTCTCTCTCCCACCTCACAGACCATACAATTGTTCTGTTGAACTGTTACCTGGGGCTCCTTTGCCCTCCAGCCGTTTATATAACTTGTCAGGTCCTGAAAGGGAGGCTATGAGATTATATATTGAGGAGTCGTTAGCCTCGGGTATCATTCGTCCATCTACATCCCCCCTAGGCGCCAGATTCTTTTTTGTTTCCAAAAACGATGAGTCTGCGCCCATGTATTTTTCGTGGATTAAACCAAATCACCATAAAGAACAAATACCCTCTGCCCCTTATAGACTCTGTTCATCAACAACTTCATAATGCCACCATATTCACTAAACTGGATTTACGTAATGCTTATCACTTGGTCAGGATCAAAGCAGGGGATGAATGGAAAACCGCATTTAAGACACCCCTGGGACATTTTGAGTATCTGGTTATGCCATTTGGGCTAACCAATGCCCCTGCGGTTTTCCAGTCCCTTATCAACGACGTACTACGTGACTTCCTCAATGTTTCTGTTTTTGTTTATCTAGATGATATCCTCATCTACTCTCAGGATATGAAACAGCATAAACACCACGTACGCATAGTTCTTCAGAGACTGTACGAAAACCAGCTTTTTGTTAAAGCCGAGAAATATGAGTTCCATGTACCCACTGTGTCCTTTTTGGTTTTTATTTTCGGAGAAGGTTTTTTTCAGATGGACCCGGACAAAGTTAAAGCTGTGGCAGAGTGGCCGGTTCCAAAAGATCGACAATATCTTCAAAGATTTTTGGGGTTCGCCAACTTTTATCGACGTTTCATCAAAGACTACAGTCGTGTTGCGGCACCATTAACCCAACTCACATCCACCTCTAAGCTTTTCAAGTGGACTGCCGAAGCTGAGACTGCGTTCGGTGAGTTAAAGGCTCGTTTTGTTTCCGCCCCTATTTTAAGACACCCTAACCCAACCGAACAGTTCATTGTGGAGGTGGATGCTTCTGATTCTGGAGTAGGAGCTGTCCTTTCACAAAGATCCTCTGCTGACAAAGTCCATCCCTGCGCTTTCTTCTCTCGACGACTCAGTCCCGCGGAGAGAAACTACGATGTGGGGGATCGTGAACTGCTGGCTATCAAGTTGGCGTTAGAGGAGTGGCGTCATTGGCTGGAAGGTACTGAACTGCCATTTGTAATTTGGACAGATCATAAAAACCTGTCATACCTTCAGATGGCCAAGAGATTAAACCCTCGTCAGGCCCGCTGGTCTTTGTTTTTTGTCCGCTTTAACTTTGTCATCACCTACAGACCAGGCTCCAAGAATGTTATGCCGGACGCCCTCTCCCGACAGTTCTCCGACACGGAAGGTCCTAAGGAGCAGGACAACATTCTTCCCTCCACGTGCTTTGTTGGCTCTCTCACATGGGTCATTGAAAAGGAGATCCAGGAGGCGCTTAGGACCGAACCTGACCCGGGGGGAGGACCTCCTGGTAATATGTTTGTACCTTCCTCTGTTAAAACCAAGGTTCTAGACTGGTTGCACTCAAGTCAGTTTTCATGTCACCCTGGAGTTTTTCGGATGACATCATTAGCCTCAAGGTATTTTTGGTGGCCTTCCATGACAGCCGACATCAAAGAGTTTGTGGCAGCCTGTCCTACATGCGCCAGAAGTAAGAGTGGTAACCGACCCCCTGCAGGGCTATTGCAACCATTACCTACCCCTGGTCGTCCATGGTCTCACATAGCCATGGATTTTGTTACCGGTCTACCCCTTTCACAAGGTAACACTGTCATATTGACCATTGTTGACCGTTTCTCTAAGGCTGCACATTTTGTTCCTCTGCCCAAACTCCCTACAGCGATGGAGCTGGCTCGCCTCCTCATTCAACATGTTGTTAGGATTCATGGTATACCCACAGACATCGTCTCGGATCGAGGACCACAGTTCATTTCACAAGTCTGGAAGGCATTCTGCAAAGCCATTGGTACGACTGTCAGTCTCTCGTCAGGGTACCATCCTCAATCCAATGGACAGACGGAAAGAAGCAACCAGGAACTGGAAGCTGCACTACGATGTGTTGTGAGTAATAACCCATCCAACTGGAGCCAGCACTTGTCCTGGATAGAATATGGTCATAACACTCATACATCTTCTGCCATCGGCATGTCCCCTTTTGAAGCCTCCCTGGGGTATAACCCCCCGTTATTTTCTAGTGTTGAGACTGAGAATGCAGTTCCTTCTGTCCAGCATCATGTCCGCAGGTGTCGCCATTTCTGGAGGCAAACCAAGGAGGCGCTCCTGCGGACAGCAGAACAGAACAAAAGGATTGCTGACAAGCATCGTTCTGCTGCACCTGTCTACAAGGTTGGGCAGCAGGTTTGGCTGTCAACTAAGGACATTCAACTGAAGGACACCACTCGGAAGCTGGCTCCCCAGTTTATTGGWCCATTCCCGGTGGAACGCATCATAAACCCCTCTGCGGTACATCCCTCACTCCCTTCTTCCATGAAGATACACCCTACCTTTCATGTATCACAGATCAAAGCAGTCTCTAACAGCCCTTTGAGCCCTCCTTCCAACCTCCCTCCACCCCCCCCCGGCTCATCGACAATCARCCAGCCTACACGGTCAACAAGATCCTGGATGTCAGGCGACAGGGGCATGGTCTACAGTACCTGGTCGACTGGGAGGGTTACGGTCCTGAGGAGCGATCTTGGATTTCAAAGGGCCTCATCCTCGATCCCTCCCTCATCTCCTCATTCTACAGGGACAATCCGGAGAAGCGTTTAAGATTGCCAGGAGGCAATCGTCAGGGGAGGGTACTATCATGAGTGGAGTTTTTGTTATGTTTCTTCCTGATTGGTTCCTGCGCTTAATTGCACCACCTGCGTGCAATCCTATTGATGACATCCTGGGTTTTAAAAGCTTCTCCAGATGGATGAGTCTTCGCTGATGCATAACACCGTTTTGGTAGTGCTTAAGCCAACTACAAGTTGTTAAAGTAATCTATAGTTCTTGTTATTGACATTTATGTCTTCTTGTTTTTTTAAGGAACCTCTCGCCAAGTTTCCGTCTGGAGTTTTTGGTCTGCTCAGGATTTATCACAACAGGAACCAAGGAAGATTTTTTTATGTTTTGCCACTCTGCCTGAAGAAAACACTTTATCTGATTAAAGGAAGCCTCACCCCAAAACCACGTCCTTCTCCAGGAATCCGTAAGAAAGACTTTTCATTGTTTCTATGAAAATATTTAATATTTTCATTCCGATTCATGTTGGAAAAAGACTCACCTGGATTCTTCCCCTTTTTCAGATCCGGACTTGTATTTATTCCCCAGCACCTGTAAATAAAATCACTTACCTTTTTCATTCGTGTTCCAAGTTTGATTACTCAGTTCCACTCAATCACCTGACTATTCTGAGTCCATGTCAGGTCCACCACAGAAGTTTCAACTAACTGAAGGCTCTGACTGTTTGTGGTAAATTAATATTTCAGTTTGTTCTTTAATGTTTTCTAATTTATGAACTTCTGTTTTTACATTGTGAAATGGTATTGAGTAAATATTGAGAAAAAATTTAACAATTCTAACAATAAGCAGCATAAAATTCCAAATAATTGAAAGGAATCTGAATACTTTCTATATAAATTATTTAAGATAAACCTAGGACTAACCTTTTTTATGTGTTCATATCATTACCTTGTGGATCATCAGGAAGGCTGACACTCTGAGACTGAAGGATCATGGGAAGTCCATAGTCCGTGATTTTCAGAACAAAACGGCCATCAACCAAACAGTTTGTAGACTTCAAACGACCATGAGTCAAACCACGCAGGTGAAGATACTTCATCCCCTGAAGCACAGACAGTAAACAGACATGATCATTGTGAAAGTAAACAAGAAGTTCTGTTCTAATTTATTCATTAAATAACGTTCATAATTCTGGGGTTTTATCTACATTACTTTGTTTTCTAAATGATAAATGGCCTGAATTTGTTCAGGAGTTTATCAAGTCTCTATGGACTCCAAAGCTCCTCACACTACAGTCATTCAGCTATTCATACATACATTCATGCATTCATATACACATTCATCCTATCATATTTTCATTCATGCATTCATTCACTGGTGGTAAGCTACACTGTAGCCACAGCTGCCTGGGGCACAATGACAGAGGTGACCCTGCACCCTCTGACCACCACCAGCAGACAGGGCAGGTGAAGCGTTTTACCCAAGGACACAACAACTGAGTTAGATGGAATGGGGAATCAAACCAGCAACCCACTGGTTACAGAATGACAGCCCTAAGCACTCTGCCATGGCTGCCTCTTTATATTTAAAGAGCAAAGAAGAAACACCTTGATGAGGTCCATGAGCAGAGAAGACTTGAACATCCAGTCAAGCCTGACGTTACTGTCAGCCAGCAGATCTGCCAGACTTCCCCGAGGACAATGTTCCACAACCAAGGCTAAGATGCCTGAATCCACAAACAGACCTAGGTACAGATTCAGGTTCTCATGACGCATCTCACGCAGCTAGACAAAAAGTACAGAATTAGTTATGTTCAAATAAAAGTGTACTTGATATTATCTTTACAAAGGTTTCCTTTTTAAAACACTAAATGGAAAGCAAACTAAATCTGCACAAACATAAAACAGACTAAAACAATCTCTTGTTCACAATCTAATCAGAAAATGTTTCCTGTGTGTCTGCTTTGTGTTGATACTGTGACTGCTGTATACCTGAGGGTTTTGTACTATGAAGCCATGTATCCTGTTAAGTTCAGCTAAAGATCAAAGTTTTCAACGTGACAAAGGAAGATCCCTTGGAGCATGGTTACATTTCTGAATTTTGAACTCATGTCCTACTTTAACATATTTTTTATGTTCTCACTCATACATTGATAAACATATGGGTGGACTATTGGGGCAAACTGCAAGAGCTGGGAATAAATCTCTAACTCTCTGGTATTTACATGTATGTATATTCTTTTTCACATTGCATTAATTGGCTACAACCTGCTCACCTTTCAGAATACAGTATTAGAGCTTTTTATGTAACTTCATTTGCTGGATCTGTGTATTTTAATTGGAGTAAGCATAAAATGATGTGTGGAATGCCTCTTTTTGAGTTAACATGTACAAAAACCAAAGCAGAAAATCTAAAGAAACATCAGAAAAATCATTGTAACACCACAGTTTCTTGGTAAAGGTTTAGGTTATGTCCAGCTACAGCCTGCTTTGTTAAACTTGCTCTAAAAAGTTTATCTCTTTTGTATACTTGTGTGAATTTACTGCTCATTGTACCTGGCTAAATATATTTTGGGTGTTTTGATTGACAGCTGTTGTCGTCTTTCCAAAAGGTATTTTCTTCAGCCAAACCCAGTCACCCTGGAAACAGCACAGCCAATCAGAGCAGTGTTAGCATGACGGTCTGAAGGAACAGGTACAATTGCAGTTGTTCGAATTTTCACCACACTTCACTGGCATGAATGTCCTTAAATTTAGGCTTTTAAATTTAATTCAATAAAGCTTATTCATATAGCATCAATTCACAACAAACCTTATCTCAGAGTAAAAACCATTCACATACAAAATAAAATTGCAGTTTGGTTGACATGGGGGAACTTTCTTCCATGAGTGTGTGAATGACAAGAGGAAAGAAGAACGATGCACAAAAATGGTATAAATGTTTGTGCAGCTTTTCTGAAAAGTTTAACACTCATCAGACTTCCATAAAACCCTTTACATGCTGTTATTTTTCAGTATTCTTTTTCCAGTGACGTCACAGCACCTCTCTCCAAACTATCTGGCCTGGAGTCCTGTTGAAAGACCGTGGACAGGAGCTACTCTCTGTGGTGCTGCTGTTGTTCTGGACAGCCTGGTTAGATAAAGACTCATCAACAGAGCAGAGCTAAACTTCTAATTCTGAAAGCCTTCAAGTTTGTGCCATTATGAATGAGAATATTTTTATTTATAGGCACTTCTCAAAACACTCTAGGTCACCATACATAAAGAAACATAGTGAATACAATAAATAATAAAACTAAATGACAATAAAATGCATCAATTGTAATGTTTCCATATTGTTCAGATGTTTGAGTTGTTGTTTTTATAAAGTGATAATTACTGAAAGACAAAATTTAATATGACATTCATGCTCATGAATGTGACAAGTTGATGGAAGCTTCTAGTTATAACCCTGGAAATGTTAATTCAAGTCCAGGTGTACCTCCAGGATCCCAATGTTGGAGCTCTCTGGTGTAGTCAGGATGTAACTTCTAGCAATGGAGCGAAGTGGAGTTTTAATTTCCAAAAGACTCCTCATGATGGATTCATCATTAAGTTTCTGGAAAAGAAATAAGGACATTATCCCCAGTCCCCAAGGTTAGGGTTTGTGATGGATCAAAGTGAAGAAGGGAAGAGGGTTAGGGTTAGAAATCATTTATATTCTGTGCTGATGAAATACAGAGTGGTCCATTTATTTAAGAAATAATCCAACAGACACCAGAGAAACATATAAGGAAAGATCAACAGATAACTCAGAATAGAAGCAAAAATAAAATAAGAATAAATAAAAGCATGTCAATAATCATGAGATACTTAAACAGGAGCTCTGTGCAAATGTTTAATCCATCAGTTTGTTCACTCATAGCCAAGTTTTTTATAGGTTCGAAGTGGTCAACAAATCAACAAATATTAGTCAACAAATCAACAAATATTAGTCAACAAATCAACAAACATTAGTCAACAAATCAACAAACATTAGTCAACAAATCAACAAATATTAGTCAACAAATCAACAAACGTTAGTCAACAAATCAACAAACATTAGTCAACAAATCAACAAACTTTAGTCAACAAATCAACATTCATCAGTCAACAAATCAACAAACAGTCAACACTCAATCATTTCAAACCTTTCTGCTGACTTGCGTGTCAATGAACACAATGTCTTCTAGAGTTAGGATCAGTTTGGTGACGTTTGAAGATCTTTTGTACTTCCTGTCAGAAAGAAAACATATATTTCCAGTCCTGATCAGATTCACAGTATAAAAAACAAACAAACACATTTTATGTTTTTGTCAAAGCTTTGTAAAACTTCCAACTGACATCAAATTCACATATTTGTCACATGTTAGTAAAAAAGATAAGCTTCCACCTTTTCTGGTACTTATGTTAATACTTACAGCTCAGTTTAATTCAGTCAGAAATCAGAAGGATTGATAACAGTGTGAAAATGTTTAATAGACAGATTTTAAGGTTATACAAAAATTGAGGAAATTAAATAGAATTTTATAGTTTTTGCTGGGTGCGTGTGTATGTGTACCTGATCCAGAAGTAAAGAGCTGCAATCAGACCACAAACTAAAGCGAAGATGAAAAACATTTTTGCAGCATCTACACCTGCAAAAAAGTAAAAATAAAAACAATAATATTAAATCAGACCTAAAACAACTTTAGCACATCTGAGATAGAAATTCTGTATTAGAAAATCTGAGCCACAACATCCAGGTGAGAACATCTGCACCTCTAATGGAGCCATCCAACAGAAACTAAAGACTCCTACTCTATGTAACGGTCAGTAAACGCACCTCTGCTGCAGGTCTCCTCTGGGCTGAACCAACAGAAATTGGCCTTGGGGGGCTTTCCTCCAGGAAAGAAAAAGGAACGGCTCAGCGGTCTCAGACCTCCGACTGTCCCGTCAGCGTGCCTTGGTGCGAGAGAGTGTGTTGGCACCAGACGATCTCCTTCACTGTCCAACACCACATACCTGGCCTGAAGGCCACGCCCACCCTTTCCTCCATATAACACCTGAGAATGACAGAATGAATATGTTTTTGTTGTTGCTGAATACTTGCAAAATAAAGATTAAAGAAGACCACATCAAGCTGATTCTCAGTAGGAATTATAATTATTTCTTTATAATTGTAGGTTGTTATAATTCTTTGCCATCTGCCACCAGTGAAGGCAGGTGAACATAGGTGTGCAATTTTTTGAAAACCTTTCTTGAACCACAAAACAAAATGTAATTATGCTTTCAGAAAGTCATCATTTGATAACATCTACAGCTGATTGTCACTGAAAGTCAACCAAATTTAAGATAGATAACACAGATATTCAGGTAAAAACAAAAATGGTTCTTTTTGTCTAATCAAAAATCAAAAATCAGTAGGTCCTCTGGATGGATCTTCTTTAGTGAAACGTTTCATCTCTCCTCCAAGAGACTTCTTCAGTCTGATGAGTTTCAGGTGAACTCAGCCTTATAAGCTCCGCCTCCACATGGACAAACAGGTTGGTCACATGCAAAAGAGGGCCATCGACTAACAATAGGCTTGATTAGCTCTGTTGTTCATAGAGGGCAACTCTGTTATTACAAGTATGACTCCGCCCCCTTTTAGCAAACAGGTGTGAATCAGGACTCCAATGACACCAACACAAAGAGGGAGAGAGAGACAAAAACAAGGGGACTTTGAGCCCCGCTTACATTCACTACACACACATAACACAAC